GAGTAGAGTATCGAGACCTTTACTAAACCTAATAGTAGGTTGAGTAGAGTATCGAGACCTCCACTAAACCTAATAGTAGGGTGAGTAGAGTAGATACTCGAGTATCTACCCGAGAGTAGGTTGAGTAGGTACTCTACTGAACACACCCTTGCTAAAAAGGGTTTAGATGGGGTGTGTACAGCAGAAGGATCGTTCACCTTGACAAGGTCCGTACAGGGGGGTCGAATGGCTACATGTTTGTGCCTTTCCAGGCTCTGAGGTTGCCTACGAACCCAATAACCCTTTCGAGGTCAATTGTTGTTGTTGTTGTTGTTGTCTTCACATTAAAAACCATCCCGGTCTCTCTATCCAGTACCTCCTTCTGTCTCAATCTCTCCGTACTAATCCATCACTTGACTCGGCCAATTTCCGTGGTCACAGGCTAACGTACCTAGAAAAGGTATACCAAAATAAAATGGACCCCAAGGGTCAGCAGAGCGATAAAATACAAGAAAACTCAATGTGCTCCTTTAACCCCGGGTCGTTGAGGGTTGGGGCTACATTTCTAAACCCTTCCACGTTTTCGACGTTGGGGACAGAAAACAACCAGGTTAAGAGCGGGGTTAAGTAGATTGTTCAACGCCGCGGGGTTACGAATGACGATAACGCCCCCATTGACCACCTGTGCTTGTTTTACAGACTTTGCTGCCCTAGTCTATGCCGCTAACGACGTAGACCACCGGTTCGCGTTTGGTTCGTTTTTTTTTTCACCCCACCCGTGCAAACCCCTATAGGGCTGGCTTAGGGCTGCTGCTGTATCACCGCTTACGATATGTTCGGTGACGTGTGTCGTTGCACGTTGGGCCCTAACTGCTGTGCTGTGCGACGACAATCATGTCCTTGCGGGACAAACATGTACAGAGTGGACCTGGCAGCGAACTCTGTACACACAACAGCTTTTTCGCCTCTCACCGCGGACAGGAAGCGCCTCATTCTCCAAGAGGCTGCACCGATAGAGCACGCTCTCGGTATGCGGGGTGCGTAGACGTGTAGACTCTGCACGAAGAACAGCAGTAGTGTGGTACGGAGTAGGCTCGCTGCAGGGGATGTTTGGGTTCGGTCCCCGCTTTGCGGCGGAACTGGCATATTTCTGTGGACGTACGTGAAGGATGTTGTGCAGCAGCAGCAGCAGCGCTGCCGCTCATGAGTTCAGAAGAGAGAGTCTACCAGGGCAAGGAGCAGAAAGCGAGCTTGAGTGTCCGGTTACCAGTGCGTTGACAGAGTTCGAAGCGGTGGTTGGTTCCAGCAAGTGAGTGCAGAAGTACGGTCGAGCAGCAGCAGCAGTGTTGATCGGCTTGAGTTGAGTGCAGCAGCGAGCAGGATCAACCACAAAGTTTCCTCTTCAAAGCATCATCCATCATCCTCGGTCTTTGAGTCGTTGATCTAGCATCTTCGGCGACATCCGTCCGAGACACAGAGCAACCCACTGACAAGAACCTCGAACCTAGCACATGAACCGTTAGTGTAGAGCCACATCGCTCTGAATTGGATTGGTTGATCGGGTCATCAGCAGAACCCGAATACCAAATATCACATTGGCGTCGTCGGTCTCGGCACTTGTTTGTGCGGTTGCTTGTCGCGTCTTTGATTTTACAGCAGTATTACAAGCATGACCATGCGTACTCGCAGCAAGACGATTGGTTCGGTTCGTGGTACCCGTAGCGCGCCTGCCTCGCGTTCGGGGTCGCCCTCCCCAGCTCGCGTGCCCTTTGCCCGCCTCTCTTCCACCTCGCTTGTCGTTCCCTCTGGCGGCGAGCTTTCTGGTGCGTCGGCTGCTGATCTTCCTGCCGGATCTTCCGCCGGCGATCTTCAGGACCCTACCGCCGTCCAACTCGGCGCTGCCGCCGCTGCGCTGGGGGTCACGGCTCACCCGGGGGCTATGCGTGGCCTCCTCAGCGACGGCGACGACGAGCAGGACGGCGACAGCGTCGCCTACGTCGACGCGGACCTCTTCCAGACCGAGGAGGAGCTTCGCCAGCTCCGCGAAGGCGCGTCCCTCGCGGCCGCGGTTGAGGGCAGCCTCCACCTCTCCGACGGCCCCCCACCGCCGGGGTCGCCGGCCGCCGTGGCCAACGCTCACGCCGACGCGTTGTGCGCCCGCGAGGGCTTTGTCGCGGTGTCGCATGGCGCCAGGGCGGCCGATGTTGCGGCCGCGGCAGCCGACTTGGCCTTGCAGCGTGAGATATCGCAGCAAGCTGTCGCCGCCGCTGCTACTGCCGTCAGCCGCCTGCAGCTCCTGGAACGCCGCGCTTCCGACGCGGGCGAGGAAGTGGAGCTGGTCCGCGCTTCCGGGGCTTCGCATGGAGACGGCGCGGGCGGACGTTCGGAGGAGCACGGTAGCTCTTGGCATCGCCGAGCGCTCGAAGTTGCCTACGCCCGCCGGCTCTTCCGAGCTTCCCCACCACGCGCCGTCGTATTTCGAGATTGTACGTGGATCGTCTCCAAGCTCTTAGGAACGCGGGAGCCCCGGGTGCCCCGGGCGGCAGGCCGGCCGCGCCACCTCCCTCACGCCGCCGGCCCCGGCCGCCTCCCCGCCCATCCCGGTGACGCCGCCAGCGCAGACCGGGGCCGGGGGCGAGGGCGCTGCATCCCGTTCTTCGCCTTCTGCATCGGCTGACGTGGCGTCGAGGATTTCGCGCTCTTCTCGGGCGGGGAACTCTTCGGCTGCATCGACCCATGATCTCCCGCCCCCCGATTCTCCGAGGGCGGGCTACCGCCATATGGGCATCGCCGCATCGGTGGCCGCTGCCGCCGCCGGCGCCGCCCCGTCTGCGGCGACGCCCGCGGCCGCTGCCCCTACTGCGGCGGCGGCGCGGCGGCGAACGGGCTTCATCACCACGCACCACGCTTCACCAGCTTCAGCAGCGCCGGCTCCGGAGGCGGCGGGGAAACGGCGGGGAGGAGCTGTAATTCGCCGCCACACTCCGCCGCCGCTCCGCCAACCAGCTTAGGGGTCCTCGGCCCCTCCGCCGGCCAGCCCCCCTCGGGCCGGCGCTCCCCGGGCGAGGGAACCGCCGGCCGACACGCGGCGGGCTGGCGTCGTGATTCGTCGTCACGATCCTCCGCCGGCCGTCGCGCGGCGGGGGAGTGTTGTGATTCTCCACCACGACTCCGGTGCCCGACGAGCTTCGACTTCTTCACGGAATCCGGTGCCTTCTCTTCGTGGCTCGGCGTCGCGGCCGTCGTCGGAGACCGACCCAAGGGCGGCGCCGCCGCGTGCACACCAGCCACGCGAGAACCCTCGGGAGCCGGCGACGTCGCGGGATCAATACGTGCGCCGACACACTTCGGTGCCCGCGCTCGACTTCGCCGCAGAAGAGACGCGGCTTCACCGCGGTGGAACGGTCGCCTCGGGTCGGCCACAGCAACCCCGCGGGCGGCACTGGTCCGACAAGCTCCATGTTCCGCGTGACACCCTCTCCGGTGAGATCGGCAGGAGGACGCTGCTGGACGAGCAGCTGGGTATTCGACTTCACGACGCGGAACGAGCGTGTGCCGGGTCGGGATGGACGGACCCAGAGTTGGGGGACGCCTACACGCAGGCCCGCTCGGACTTCAGCGACAACCGCCGCCGCTTGTGGGAGCTCGAAGACGCCTGCGATCGGCGTCAAGGCCGAGCGCACGCGTGGGGTCCTCCTCGCGATTGGGAAATGCTGCGGGCGGTGCAAGCGGAGCCGGCGGCCGACCGCCGGGAGCCGCCGTCGCCGGGCCGCGACGGTCAGCGTGAGCGCCACCGCCGAACTAACAAACGCTCGCGGCGGCAGCACAACCGCTCCTGCCGCGAGAGTTCTTCCTCCTCTTCGTGGTCGTTGGACGGCTCGGGAGACGACAGGGATGAATGGGGGGCGCCGGCGGAACGAGAGGCCGTCCATCACGTGCGGGCCTCAAGCTCTCGCCGGCAGGGCGCCACGAGTGGTGGAAGGAAGCAGAACACGGGGTCGGGGGGGGGAGGAGACCGCGGGAGTCCGCGTTCGGGGGAGGACGAGAGGGAGCGTCGACACAGCCGAGCGTCGTCTTCGAGGGGCTCGGAGGCTGGTGGATCTTCCCGGGCTTCGAGACTAACCCGTGTGCCGTGTTCTTTGTCCCCCAGCTCACGATCCCCTTCCCCACCCCCTCACAATCCGAAGGTAGCCTCTAAACTCATGGCACTCAATGTGCACCGCATGTTTCAGCAGTATGTGCGGCCACGCCTGCCGTTGCCTGCCGGCAACACGTGGACGGCCCTTGTGACGTTGGTAGGTCGGCTACGCCATGTAGTCCGGCAAGGCCGACAGGCGTGTGGCGATTTCCACGCCACCGCGTGGGCGCCAGAGTGGACGTCGCTCGCTCAACAATTTCTAGTGAGTTGTGTAGCGGCAGAAAGTGGGGAAGGGCCGGTAAACAAAATTTTGTCCATCGGCCGGGACCTCAACGACACAATCCGAGATAGGAAGCTCAACGGCCCACAAAGGTTTGCCGAGCTTGTCAGCCAGCTCACGAGGCGGTTCACGAGCTTGAAGGTCAATTCCATCCCGATCATGTTGGCACAGTTCTCCGTTCCGATCCACACACCCCTGCAAGATTGGATAGTCCAACTAAAAGAACTTGTAGAAGGGTTGTCGTGTTTCGGGGATTCGTGCCCGACAGACGCGCAAATCGTCTCAACCGCCATTGAAGGTCTGGCCGTGCAGTACCCAGAGATATCCCTCTTCGTGAAACCCAAACTCAAGAAAGCGGTNTGCTTTAGGAACGGTGTCCACCAGATCAACACATTCCTACCGACCAAGGGTTCACGCGGTAGCGCGGGGTCGCTCGTTTGAAACATTGGCCCATGGGCGCGAGTTTGAACTAAGCAGTGACGAGGAAGGATACCAACGCACATCTCGGCACCTGTACCCCGTGCTCGGTAAGGGATCAGACAAATGCGCATCAACGTCGAACAACCCTTCGCTCCGCTTCTGGAAATACTCCGCTGATTCGGTAGAGGGCGTGAAGGCTAAAAGTCAGCTGCCGCGTGACGCCTGCTACAACTGCGGTCGCACCGATCACTTCCTGCGTGGTTGCCCTGAGTCCTTTAAGAATGAGTGTGGTATGTTTTGCGAATCATTTGGGGAGAGTAGCCCCGTTTCGGTTGAAGAAAGATGGCAAGCCAAGCTCCGTAGCCTAGAAAGGAAACAACAAGGGAGGGGTCCCTCTTTGTACCCTGGAAAATAGGATGTCGACACCGAGAGTTTCCGCCTCTTGGTGACGGAAACGTCGGAGCCTCACGGTGGTGGAGAGGGGCGGAAACCGTCGCCGCCGCCCAAACCGTCTAATGATTTCCGACCTAGTATAGCGAGGGGCGGGGAGCCATCTGGTTCCCCACCTACTTTGTCG